AAATGATTTGGAAATTTGCAAAAAGATGTTAGAGATAAACGGCATGTAAATTCAGTGAAATACTACTATTATTCTTAAGATCGCGTGAAGCTTGTTTGAAATTTTTGAAAACAAATGTAAAAACAAGCACAAGGTACAAATAAAGTTATCGAACTTCGATAACTTTATAATAACTTGATAATAAGATTCAAACGTGTACGACTGACCTTGTTCCTATTCGCTAACGCGTTGACAGTTCTGACAGTTGACTTTGAAATGGCTTTTTGGGGCGTGAGCTCAGGACAAAAAAAAAACAATACATTACTGTTTCCTTTTTTTCTTATTTTTATTCAATTACGAGGGATTCGTGCGATATCGGTTTTTAGCGTGAAATTTAACATGGAATTCACTCGTCAGGCAGTGAATTTTTCTATAATATCCCATTAGTAATTGGCTCTATATTTGCGAGCGCAGGATAGTTGAAACATTTCGTGTCAGACCATATTTGCCACGCATAGGTGTAAGAACTAATTAACTAAGAGTTGAATATGAAGTTTGTAATGCTGTGTCAATATTCCTAGGTCTTATCTGATTTTTCTTTTGTCTTTTAAGTTGGGAAAGCTACTCATGTGTGCTCAAAATCTGAGGAAAAACGCCAACTTGGATTTGTCACTTTCAGATGCCTGTACGTTGTTTGTCTGCAACAAATGGGATTTGGTTGAGAACAATGAATGCGAAGAGGTGAAAAGGGATACGGTCGAAAAGCTTACAAGAATACTTGGTAACCTGGATCCGAAATCGCAGATTGTCTATTTGTCGTGCAAAACCGCGCAGTTAGCTCAGACCTATGGGGTAGTGACAGAGGATTTCAGTAACCTAATAACAGGGATTAGTAATCTCTTAGTTTCGTCCATGAAGAATAATCTGCAGATGAATGCTAGGTAGGTAGACTTCTGAATAATTCTAAGTTGAGGCCTTGAATATTTATATTGTATCAAATACCCAACAAAGACAAAGCCTCGAGATGGAAGTTAAAGCTCGATTATAAAGTAGAATTAGAATAAATATGTCATTAAGGAGACATCAATTAACTTTGTTCGTTTGTCGGACGATAGAGTCACTTATGATGGAGATGGCGACGTTTCGACTGCAATACTGCTTGTCTTGCGAGAACATGACAGAGACATGCGGTTTACTCGTGCTCAGACCTCTTGCGGTTTCGGAGCGTGCTAACGAAACGGGGTATATTCCTATTTGGAGTTAGGTTAAGTTTATTGATCGTGACCCCACTGGTACACACGTAGGGTCAAAGAGGCTATCCGTATAATACTTCATCCCAACAACATCAATAGGGATATCGGAATCGACATTCCCGAAGTTTGGATACCCACGATCAAACAACACAACAGCCGATTTATGAGAACCTATGAGGGAACACCATTTAACAACCGGAATATTAATGAGGATCGAAATGCACTAATAGCAGCGTACCAACGTGCTACAAATAGCGTCACGTAAGCAATCGACCTCATCGCCTGATGAAGATTAGTAGTATTGCAGTCGAAACGTCGCGATCTACGTCGTAAGTGACTCTATCGTGAGACAAACGAACAAAGTCCATGTCTTATGCATTGGTATGGTTATTTTAATTGTCTAGCAGTTGTAATTATGACATCAAACAATTTTTTATATGCTTATTCATCAGATGGCTGGAGGATCTCCTCGATCGCATGTCTCGTCAAGTCCGCATAAAACTGAAGTCAGCAAAAATGTCTCATCAGAAAACAGAGGAAAAAATCAAGAGATTGTTAAGCCGCATGGAAGAGCTGCAGAATTCTCAGAAACGTATATTTGATGAACTTAGCGAGCATCAGTCGAAAATATTTGAAGACATCCTCAAGAAACTAGCTTTGCACTTTAATTCAGAGGGAACTTTTTCGCGTTTTTGCAACTGGTCTAAAGATGAAGTACCCAAACCCCTTGGAACATGGCAGGATACAAAGAATGAGGTGTTAAAGTACATCTCAGAGAGAACACATCAATTTGTCCAGCAATGGGAAAACGAAGAGAACGAATTCGACAGAGCTCGAGTGTCATTGATCCAACATTGTTGCAAAAAGTATGATATAATGGAGGAAGAAATGCGCGAAGTAGCGGAAGATTTTTTTTTCGTCGACGAAGCGGAGGGTGACCTTCCACAGGACGAGGGTGAAGAAAATTTGAAACGATCTAAAGCACGAGGAAGATTAAAAACGATTACTGCTCCGCCATGGCTTCGGCAAGGATTGGCACCAGTGGTGGTAGGGTCTCCACTTAGCATGCTCAGAACCAAACTTAAAAAGAAGCTCCACTACAAAACCAAACTGGATAGGTTCCGCGATGATCCATGTGCCTACATGTCGAAGCGATCACGGAAATGTCTCAAAGTTATTTCTACTCGAGACCGCTTGCTTCCGTTCATCAACGAACAACTGGAAGACGCCGTACTGTACCTGGGACAGATCAAGAAGAAGATTCCAAAGCTGAGGGAAGGTGACGAGCTGATCTATCAACAGCTACTTGAAGACACGAGAGGCAATACTGAGATTCGGAGGATCTACGAGCCTTTAAACGACGAGCTGGAATCTCTGAGACGTGGTTTAACTGTATACTCTCTGCGAGAGATCAGGCAGTCGGATTTTGCAAGAGAAGAGTTAGAATGCGATTTCGGAAATCCTGTCATTGGACGAGGCAGCTTCTCGATAGTGTTCAAAGGCGTTCTTCGTCGCAAAGAATCGCCAGAGACTATCGTGGCCATCAAGAAGTACATTGACCCGCTTACCAGTAAAAACGTGAGGCATTTCGTAGACGAGGAACATGCTTTAAGGTATGTGTATCAAAAGACCATTTTCTCTCATGCAGTTGTGTTCATTTGGCAGATCAACTGTCGTGCGTGGTGTCCTATACCAGTTTTTGCAGTGTCTAGAGCCGGAAATGCTCTAACTTGCTACACATGTGATTGCTGCCTATAAGTTTAATAGCAATGAGCCTCTTATCTTTGTCTTAGAAAACTGCGCCATCCAAACATTGTGGGTTTCTATGGAACCAATTTGCACCACAGCCCCAACGGTACTGAAGTGATGATCGTCCTCGAGCTTTGCAGTTGCTCTCTCAGAGATCGCGTACTTGCCCATCCCGAGGATTCACCCGCTCGATCGTCGAGCGACACAGTCAAGAAAAAGGTCTTATCCTGGGTACAACATATCCTAGAGGCCTTGCATTATATCCACTCAGAAGGATTTGTTCACCGAGATTTAAAGCTGGAAAATCTGCTGGTAAATGTGTACTGAGTTGAACTTTGATTTCCAAGTTAGGGTGTCAGTTACCTGTTTTTACCGACACGTATAGGGCTATTTCCTTTCCTCAGTAAAACATAGCCTCTCCCCCCCCCGACCTTTTTTTCGAAAATATTGTAGCCTATAGACGCACTACATGTCGTGCTCTTTACTAGTTCAAGAGTGGTTTTTTTTGGGGGGGTGGGGGGGAGGAGAGGCAATTTTGGTTTCTAGTGGCTGGAAATGATGTCTTGGTGATGAAAATTGCGTGCTTTTCATTAAGGAAATCAACCACCCGTTTTCCTACAATTTTGCGTGAGATCTCATGCAGAAGATTGCATGCCATGTAAACAAAATTAATTGGTCGACAATGATTAACAAGAAGTCTTAACCTTTGTCGCGCCACCTGGTGTTCATTACCATGAAACATGATCTTGTAATCCACGAAAAAAGCACCAACGTGACATTGTCATTTATTGTTTCCCTTGTTCATTACGATTCTTTGTGACTGAGTTTCATATTTCATTATAGCTGACACAAGGCGAGCAGGTGAAACTTGCAGATGTAGGAGTCGCTAAACATGAAAAAGAAATAACAGGTACAACAGTCGGCACCTTTCTGTACCTGGCCCCTGAAGTACGTGAGGGTCGAATTTACAACAGGAAAGTTGACATGTATAGTTTTGGCTTTGTACTTTCGAAAAGGTGAGACAGGGCTGTCGACCTACTCACACCGAAGGCACAATTCATCCATATGAAATATGGCAACATGTCATGACTACTTGCTGGAATGAAAATCCACGTGCCAGGCTGACAGCAAGAAAAGCACTGGAACGTTTCAAAGAGTTACACGAGGCTGAGATTCAACCCAAACTGAAACCAGTACCGCTACCGAGGACACGTTCGCCAAGGCTACTTTCTCCTCCAACAGCGCCTACGCCAGCTAGAAGACCAAATAAGCAAGGTGGAGCGTCTGTTTCTTACCACAAAAAACCAGAGGCGGAGAGCGTTCACTTTGAATTAAAAGAAAAGAAGTAACGTGGAGCGGACTGAAAAGAACAATCGCTTTATATCTTAGTATTCGTTCGATTGTAATTAATTTAGGAGGAGGAGGTCACTGAAATTGGAGATGTAACCAAATTTTATTCAAAGCTCCTAATGAGCTCCAGTGCATACTAATCATTTTTTTAATAGCAGTTCGTGTACGGCGTGGATTACAAATAGTTCTCAAAGGTATATGTTATTTCTAACTCGGCAACTGTCTCTTGAATCAATTGAGGAGAAGCTATACAAATTTGTTTTATTCCACTATGACGTCTTTTTGCCTTTTTAGGGCATCGGAACGCGTAATATTTCAATGGATTACTCTGTAAATCAGGGTCAAAAATACGGTCAGAGCGCAGAGCAAAAAAAAGGCTTCAGCAAACGATCCAAACTTTGATTTTTTCTTCTGTGGTTTTTAGGCTTTTCTTCTTGGGAAAATAACTTTTCAGCGCAGCAGATGTTATATGACTGTGAATCTATGAAACTCATAAGGGAACTGCAAATTATGTGAACTGTGTGAACTATATGAACTGTGAAATGCAAAGATCGCTTTCATATTTACAGATGTTATTGTTGGTCATGGTTTCGTTTGTGTTGTTTCCGTCTTTCACTCATGCCTTCGGGGCTTGGAAAAAATACAACGCAACTCACAAAATATCCGCACGTAAGCATATTTTTAGTGATAAAATAAGGTGTATTATCCCAAAGTAAATCAAGTTAGTCGAACTTGCCATCATGGATCAGTGCAACGTCTTTGACTGTACAAAGAATGAATTACAAACGTATTATATCTAATAACTAGTCCGTATACTTCAATACGACTGAAATTCTGTGCTGTTAGGGCGAAAGGGCGTCAAAGCCGATGCAGCATACTAGATTTCGTAAGGAGTCTTGAAATAAAGTTCACAATTAAATGTATCTACTAAAATCTCGGTCTTAAATTTTAGTCACTCGGCTAGGAACAAGAGTATTGAGAGACGAGCCTATTTTAAATAAGCTTTGTTGGTTTGAAGCAGGATTAACTTGTATTATTGAGCGACGTTCACGCTCCAACTTTATCATCACATTAAGCAGCTAGAGCGAACAATAAGTTGCTGAAATCCGGTAGTAAAACTCTAAAACTAACAATGATGATTTATGTTCATCCGAACAGAAAAATCTCTTCTTCCTCCTGCATCCTGCATTGTCAATGATTTCCTATTACTCATGAAGTGATTCAGTTTCTGCTTTAGGAGCAGTCACGGGCGCGGTAAGGGTTTCAAAACTACCTACACATATTGAGTCGACAAAACAGAACGCGTTGAAGTACTCTAAGTTTCCTCATAACTATACTTGATATGAGGTTATGGTTAAAAAAGTAAACCTTACAGAAACATCGCTTCCTGCATCATCAGTATTTTAAAAGAGGCGATAATTGTGATAAGGGTGCTGCCTCTTAAGGGTCTAATTTCTGAGATTATAGTCCGGTCGCAAACATCGCTGAGTATAAATGTTCTTGGTGTGGAAGAGAGGGAGAATTTCGCTAGTGACTGTTAATTACTATCTAAACTCGTTGAGTTGGGAAACGAAAATATAAGAACAATAATTAGGTCTCGAGAGCGGAAGTCATTTTATCGTTTTCAAGAACTTAAGCGAAAATATCGCACTGATTGATGACATATGACTATTAAAACCGAAATACTGCGTTAATGTGCCCTTCACTGGTGCTTGCCTCACTTCCCTGGTCTTCCAGCAACAGTAGAGGAGCGGGTTCAAACCAGAATTTAACTACCTAAGAGATGCTGTATGTTTCAATCGAGAATACAAGAAAAGCTATTAAGAGTAAAGAGAAGCAAAAGGCCTCCATACGGCATCCGGAAGAAAACAAGCTACTGGAGACACTTGGACCCATAATGCAGTGGTGAGCGTCTTTCGGTATCTAGATCTGTTTACGGGAATTCCACGTTCATACGGTTACCCGTGGAAACTCTTTGATGCAGCTTGTGGATGAATATTTTCATGTAACTGTAAAGTTAAGATATTATGCAAAAAATTTTTATTAAAAGATATTATTGCTAAATCATTTCGATTACAGAGAATGCTACGCATCCAAACCAAGTAGAAAATTTAGATAAGGGGGGAGACGTCTTTCGTGTGCTAGCCTCTTCCTACGTGATCTACAACAGAACAGAGCACAATAGAGGCTTCTCTATTTGTAAATAGGAAAATTTATGTTTTGGCGTAAAGTTCTTATGAGTATCTTTTTGAAATAACGATCGCGAAAAGTTAACTATAACGTCGCCCTAGGCATCTGAGGTAACCCTTCGTTTCGCTTAAGAGTCTTAATAGAAGTCGATGAAGTTCTGTCGAAGGAATCATTAAATGTTTTTTAATGCGTTGGCGAAATGACCAATGGGACGTTAACGAAACGACTTAAGACGCCGGTTACTGATCATGAACTGGTCACTAGAGAAACGAATTATAGGCGAAACGACCACAAACTGCATCAAGTGCTAACGTTGCTGACTTTGTTAGGTAGGCCGTCTTCTCTGCCACTGAGTCAGTGGCAAAGAAGACAGAAATATGTTACTTTTGGTTCAGTAGACGACAACAGACATAGACAACTATGCACTACGATAGTTTTGCGAAGGATACGTTTTTAGCTTATAGACTTCACCAGAGAAGTAGAAACAGTTCACCATCACGATTAGAAAAAAAATCTAATCGCATTGCCTCGTTGCTGCCCAGAGTCAAGTTTGGTATCACAGTCTAATGACTGCCGCATAATTTTTCTTGATTTCCATGTAACATTTCTTAGCTGAAGGGCGTTCGTTTGGGGCTTGACTCCAACACTGGGTCATTAGATTTTTCCAGGGAAGCGGAGGTTTCCTATAATTGCTGCTTTCGACTTCTGGACGGTAACCGTCATCAGCTATCTTCTTTGAGATGTCTTTTAGTGCTAGCCCCTTTAGTCCGGCGAAGGCCTGTCTTCCATACCACATCTCCCACAAAATTATTCCAAGATTGTATATGTCTGCTTGGAAGCTATATCTCTTTGATTGAAACACCTCAGGTGCCATATAAAGAACTGTTCCAGCCCATGATCCTGTGATATCCTTTGCCTCTTTGGACTCCCCAACATCGGCAATCCTTACTGAGTTGTCTGCTGATAGCTTTAATTGAAAAGAAAACATTGTATGAACATCGCGATGCTTTTAAGAACACATTACGAGGTGGGCAGTTAAATGCAAAGCATATTTACGGCAGTGTCACGGGAACTCATTGCACTCTGCAAAAAACTTATTTTACCGAAAATTTCTGTGAATTTTGAGTGCTGCTGTAGGAAAAGTAATATTTCGTCAGGAAAATTTAACAAATAATTCACGAGATCGAGATTTCCGTTGCGGCAGTTGATTGTTAAGTCTCAGGGTTGCCTTAACAAAAATCATCAATCTTTTTTAACTATTCTCTCATACCAAGATATTCTCCAATGTGAGATCTCGATGGACAACCCCCTCTTTATGTATGAACGCGAGTGCATCCGATATCTCTCTTGCCCATCGTTTAACTGTTTTAATACTTGCAATATCTTTTGTTTCTGCAGGAACATAGGCTCGATTATTGAAGATGTGGGTCCTCAAGTTTTCCTTGCACTTTTCCAACACCATTACTGCTCTTTCCTCACCATCTCTTTTGAGGAGAGATGTACCATAGAACTTCACAATGTGAGGATGATCCAACCTCCTGAGAAAGAAATCAACTACACACAGTCAAGCATTACTTAGTCAAATTTTTGTCTCAGTATAAACGCAGTACAGGAATGATCGAATAAAAAAAATGAATGAAAAAAAAAGTGAAGTTATAGTTAACTATGTTTCTTTTCACAAGAAAAACTACCAAATCCTTTTAAATGTTAATGTTTTGCTTTTGTAACAGAACACAATCTTCCTTTTTCTGCTAGCCCAAATTGAAAGTAAGAAAAATTCGTACCTTAGAAGACTCGCTTCTGCCAAAACATGACTTGCGTTGTTGATGTCAAGGGATTCGTTCCAAATTTTTAATGCAACGCTTTGCTCCTCACCATGCCTCTTCATTTTCCCTTCGATCACCGTTGCGAACTCTCCTTGACCAAGAAGAAGAGACATGTCTGCTTTCCACTCAAGCTCCAGGCTGCTGATGTCAGCGGTACGGATTTCTCTCAGGCCAAATAACGCTAGCTGTCCTCTGATTTCCAATGCTCGATTCAGGACAGGCTGGTATGACTCCTGTATCTCTTTGTGTGACCGCGTTTCATGCCTGAGTTGATTATACAACATCTTGTCAGCATGTATTAGCTCTGGAATACGGGCCTCAATATGCTTCAGACACAATTTTGCCTCGCTTAGTTGGCTCTTTACGAACACCTTGAGAATGGACTCATTTGTGGCATTGTTGAGGTAGTCTACTGACCTCTCAGCCATGAGAGAGCATCTGTCTTTTTCGTACCTCCTAAGTCTCCTTGAATCTTCAATTTTGTTTTTGATCGAGATTATGCCGACTATTGGGCTGCCAATTACCAAAGCAATTAGAGTGAGTGGAACCCAGATTGGGCTGGTAAAACCGATAGCAAACTTTACTGCCATAGAAAAGTTTTCAGCAGAGGGATCAGCTTCTGAAACACTAATTGGGTCATCAGTCGTGACACTATCTTGCAGATTCCGGATTTGCCCCTCGACAAAATCGTACTGCTCCTGAAAATAATGCAGGAGGGAATCTCGAGCATCGGCAAATACTCGTTCATCTTCCTCCCAATGTTCTATGATTTCCTTCAACCTTGTTTGCAATGCTTTATTGATATTGTTTTCTGTGACCTGCCACGAGACCTCTATTTCAGGAACCTCATCCAAGTTCCATGAGATGAAACGTGTTTTGACCTCATCTGACTTGAGAAATATGGAAAGCTTTTGAACTGCCTCGTCGATTTTAGCTTTCAGGTGTTTTCGAAGGTCTTCCACCACTTTTCCTTGTTCGCTTTCAATAGCTGACAGACGGTTATTGATTCTTTCCATTTTCTTGGCGACCTTGTCACGATCTCTTTTGGCATTCATGACAAAGGCCTTTGCTTGATAAACTATTCGTGAAAGGAGGTAATCAAGCCATCTAAAATATAAATAGATATATTCAATAACTGATATGGTTTTTACCTCAAAAAGCATTACCTTTCCACGATTCTTGGCTCGTTCTTACCAGTGGTATGGAACCAGGGATAAAGACTGGACGTTTGCTTCCTTTCTTCAGAACGGACAAGGACAAAAGGGATCCTCCTCCCGAAGAATGAAGTATCAAAGCATCCAAGTTTTAAAGTATGCTAAATGCATGCCCTATTGAGTCTCTATTATTATCCCCGAAAGTCGTTTCTAAAAAGATAACAAGAAAGGGAGAGAAAGAAAGAGAGAGGAAGGAAAGATCTAGCAAACAAATAAAGCAAAACAACAGAGCCCTCTCAGATTCAAATGACAATAAAGTGGTTAATTTACGCTGTAGAGTTTGATGGAAGCTCCTGAAATAGATGTGGGCATAGCTTATGATTTCTTGCTAAAATAATTTAGCACTCAGTTTCTTGAATTTTTCGGTCATGACTATTCTGCAGCATTTATGAAAGTGTCTTGTGTTTTAAATCAAAGTAAAAAATAACTCCCATATACAAATTGTTCAACCTGGTGGCTGGTGTAGAATTTAAACTACTTTTAATCACTTAACTGTAAAAGCCATAACAGCACTCGATGAATTACCTATTAGGCAATTCTCGCTCCAAATTTAGATAGGCTTTTTGTCCTCATTTTTACTTAACACCCAATGAGCAACCATTGCAAATGTTTTATTGTTCCAACCTCACTTTATTCACAAGCACGCCAAGAGAAAAGTTCAGTGGGAAAATCGAGATAAAAAATCGTTCATATCTAATGACCCGTGTATCCCATACCAAGACCAGATTTTAAAACGCCTCTCCTTCAACGCGGTACAAAACCCCAGTATGAAGGATACAGGCTTATCGAAAATTGGGAAAGGTTTAGTCGATGGGTAAATTTATGGTGATGATGAGTTCTGAAGTGTCTTAGGGAATGAGTTAGGGTATTTATCACAATCATTTCACCCGACGATAAAGTTTTCAGTCAATTCTTACCTCCAATAACTTTCCAGTCTGGCCTCTATGCTCTTCATGACCGTGGATCTTATACCATTCATCAAGGAAAGGAAGTCATTTGTGATGATTCCCAATTTCTGGGCGTCAATCGCCTTTTTTGCTGACATGTAGATGATCTGTGACTCTGGAACAAAACCGGGCCAACACTTTTCCAATTTTCTGATCACGTATTTCTTTACCTCTTCGATTTCTTTCTGAGGTATTTGGTCCCACTTGTTACACACGAACAGGGCGCTCTTCGATGAAAATTCTCCCTTTTCATTAAGAGTCACTTTTCTCACTTCTTCCAGCAACTTTTCGAGCTGTAAAATAAATAAAAGTTTAATCTTATTCAGTATCATTATAATGGTTTGAAATCTTCTAAAGGACAATAGGTCAAACTCTGACATATCAAAGCCCCTTTAGCGGGGCTCCTCACGGCTTACTAAATTGTTGTCATTTGGAAATGGTGGTTATTCCTAACACTGACCCTGTCTTTCTGGACTCCTCCGGCGTTGTCAGTTTTGATGACGTAAATAAATGCGAAAGCTTCAGGTAGATACTTCACGACCTCTTCATCCATGAGTTCGGATTCTCCAATTCCAGGACTGTCAACAATAACAACGCCTTTCTGAAACGAAAAAATCAAATGGAGGTTTTATTGTTATTATTATCATTATTATTTTTAAACTCTTTGACCAATATAGCGTGTCATCCAATCTGGTTATGAAAAATACAACCCCGTCTTTAAAAAGGGATGCCCTCATAATGTATAATTTCCGAGAAAGTTAATACTCTTTTCATATTAGTTGGAGTATCCTCAGTTTGACCATCGACTAACCTTACTCGAGGTATATAATTTCTTAGTTTTGATTGATGGAAAATTCTATAATTCAATCCTCAGGAAAAGGATTTTTTCCCTTGGGTTAAAACAGTCGATGGGCAAGGACACATGCTTTTCAAAATTTAGCACTGAATTTATCTATTGTGAGCTATGAGCCATGTTCTAAGCATTTGTTGTGACATTATTTGTCCATTATGCATAACAAATGATTTTAGTCCCACACCATTTTAGATACTATAATTGTGTTTGCCGTTTTGACTGACCTTGTGATCCTAATCTTATCCATCTAAACTAAATAAAAGTATAGATTGAAAAAAATCATTCCATTTCTTAGTTAATTGGCAAAGTTTGAATGAACACTGTGTAGCTACCTGCAAGAGTTGATGAGTTTTTCGGGTTTTGTTTAAATCAGTCGATGGGTAAGGACGCATGTTTTTCAAAACTTAGCACTGTATTTATCTATTATGAGGCATGAGCCACGCATTTGATGTGATACTATTTGTCCATCAAGTATAACAAATTGTTTTAGTCTAAAATTCTGTTTGCCCTTTTCAATGACCTTCTGATCCTAATCTTGTCCATCTAAGCTAAAAATAGGAATCGAAAATATTTATTCCATCTCTTAGTTAATTAGCAAAGTTTGAAGGAACACTGTGTAGCTACCTGCAGGAGTTGATGAGGCCAGAAGAGTTCGATCTTTTTATAAACGGAACCTTTTTCTCGATCTGTATCCTTCACGTGGACAAACGGAGAGAGCTGCTGGAGATAACTTTCATCAGAGGCTTCTGCTGGCTGCTCCAGGAAATATTCCCAAGTTTCATGCCCTGTTTTAGGATCCGTGTCTTTGAAATGGGCCACTATTTTACGTTTCTCCCCATATCGCAATTCACAAATTGCGGAAGTTGTACTGAGTACTGAGTACGGAAGAAGTTCTTCTCCCAAAATTAGATTTATTAAGCTGCTCTTCCCAGAGCCAGTCTCGCCTGGAATGCAGTGATATCAAAAATAATTATTACGTTGTACTATCTTCCAACTAACCAAGCGCAGGTACCATACTGAAAAACATTGGCCCTCGATTTTTGCAAACGAACCGAGCGCTGCTGGGTTGTGTAAAAACAACAAAAAGCCAACATTCCTCAGCAAGTCTCAAACAGTAAATGGTAAATAGTATAAATTATGGCACTCGAGCCATGTTTGTTTATTTTTCTTTTTTGAAACACTTCGGATAAATTGAATCCAAAGAGATTCTGTCGTAACTAACGTGTGTTTGTGGTTTCTTTGCAAAGAATGTGGGTATATAAATGTTATTGATGTTATTTTTGTTTTTTCTTTCTTTCTTTCTTTCTTTCTTTTTTTTTTTTTTTTTTTTTTTTTTGCAGTTTCAGTCGTAAAGTTTAATCCAACCAAGTAAGAACCATTCCGAACCCCCGAGTGTTCACCAGCCGATCCAAAATGATAAAGAAGGAAAATAGGTCAATATATAGTAGTACCACCATATGCCGGTCATTTACCTGCTACTAGAAGGACGTATTCTTTTCTCTTCATATCTATTTGGTGTTTTCGTATCAGCTCGTCAAGGTTACCTATTTGGCGCTTAAGCAGTGAGCGAATTTTGGCGTCCATTTCAGTCAAACATTCCTCGCATTCAGCATAAAGACCAGATAAGATTTTCATCTTTCTCATGTCGTGATCTCTTGCATCTGACAGAATAGAGAATGCCTGGAGAGGAAAAAATTAGATTTAAAAAATAGCACTTGATTAAGGTGAAAGTGGATGATTATTTTAAAGATGATAAATTAAGTTTTAAGAAAATGTCAAAAATCAATCCATACCGAAATCTGTAGATCATATATACAGAATTTTGAACAATTATACACATATGTTTTCTCCTCTCTTTTAAATCAGTAGGCTGAAAGTCGCTTTGTTGCATGATTAAAGAGTTTAATTAGTAATAATATACTGCAGGCAGATCGATGAGAGCAAGACAGCAAATCTGTAGTAAACAGGAGGGTTGAAAAAGGTTCCATTCTTCAAGAAGAAATCCATGCAATATCGGAGTGGAAAGCTAGAGTTGTATGATCGAAAATTCCTTTAAAGGCTATAGGTATTGTATTTGAGCAGTCAATCGATCGATACGGATATACGAATTCTGACCGACACTAACTTCGTAGTTTTTACAGGAGAGAACCTCTTGCTTGCCCTTCCAATAGAGCGCTTTACTCTTTACATCTGATCATTAACCAGGTTAGAGGGGTCACACATGCATTTTCTGCCACTTATCATTGCATTAAAACGCTACACATTTGGCATAAAACAAAGGCAGGGATCTCATCATAATTGAATTCCGCGTTACCACTATTGTCTAATACTGGCAGACAGTTTCCTCAATAAAAGTCTCAGTTGTTGTCGGCTGGGCGGTAAGGACAATTCCCTCCCCATCTGTATGAGAAGAAAAGGTTTCTATATTCAGAGAAGACCATCTTAAACGCAGGGACTGGCACCAAAATGGGTGCAAATTTGTCTGACGAGTACGAACCATTACGGTCAAAATATGCAAGTATCACGAGTCACTGCGTATACATTCGTTGTGGGTAAAGCATATCTTGATGAAAAGCCATTTCAAATCACTCCCCGAAAGCAAAATTTCCTTTTTAACCATAGAAGTTCAAACGAATTCTTACCTGACCTGCAGCCCAGTTCGGCTTAGTTTGAGACTGGTTTAATGTAGTGATAACCTGAGTTTTCAACTCGTCTAACGTTTTAAACCCTCTCGACGAAATATCAAGGGCCTCCATGATTTTAACCATTTCATACAGATCATCGATTTCATCGATAGTTTTCGTTGAGCTACAAGCCATAGTGTCGAGTTTTCACTGGCTAGGAACTCTAAGAACACATCAAAGCGGCGAAAAAGACTTTAAGAGCTTCAGTTGATCATGGGGAGCATTTCATAAACGGATTCTTATTGTTTATTGCCAGGTGTAAACAAAGCATGACGTTGCATCTTTTTAGAGAGTTTTACTTTTTCATTGGTTAATGTATCTTCATTTGTTAATTCGTTTATTCGTCTCTCTATTTCATTTGCTATGTAGAAATTCGATTCTTCCCAGAGCAAAATAGATGAAAAATTGGAGATATATTTTTCATTCAGTTCCAGACGTTAAATGATTAATATGGCAAACGCACCTAACAGGGAGCGACTTCTCCTGAATTCTCTTGCACTCTTGTTGCCAAATCGATGGCAACAAATTCAAAAGAAATCAATTTAATAAAACAAGCGGTACTCAAAACCTTAGCATGCAGATTTTAAAGCTAAATTTATAAATGCTAGAATCTTAAATTTAGCTTGGTTATTTCTATTGTATATAGATGAGGTCACTCCTGTTTACATTGTGGACTAAGACGCGACGCAATTGCGGGAAATGAGGTGCGACGTGGAGTTATAACTTTGTAGGGGAGAGAGAGTCAGTTTTGTTCTATCTCTGTCTAAGAATATATCATGAATTGACTTTCTTTTACATGCACGAAAAGGTATTCATCATGTAAATGCGTAATAAGATAATTGATGTGTTGGTGCCCGGGTTCTTGTTACGTATTTGACGTACAAAACTAGACAGTGGAGAGGGACAGAAGGCGGGAGCTCGGGAGGAGACGGGGGCGAGAGTGGGCGGGAAGCGGGAGCAGAAATTAACAAGGTGTTCGTTTGGTGTTTATAATTGCTTATCATTTATTTAAAAACCAGTACCCAGCAAACAGTCCGGGCCATAGACAGTTTAGTCCGTCATGACGTCACGAAACAGTGACAGCAAAGCAAGCTTGAACGGCAGAAATCGCCAGAAACTACAACGGAAACACAAGATGTGAGTAAGTTCTATTGACTTACGTGTAGAATGTTCATATTTCGAAATAGTTATCATTGTAAATGGACCATATTCCGTTTCCCATACTATTTATCATAACGTGTTCAAATTCTCAACAGTTCCTCTCGTAACATAACCCCGGGTCACACAACGCGTGACGCTTTCATAAATCAATCGACGTGAGCTTGGGACGCTTGTGGTTAAAAAAAAAAGGGTTGAGGGCGCCCCTCAAACCAAGCAAACAAACAACCAATGGCTAAAGCTAGTGCGAGACATTTCCTTCAACATTCATGTGGAAATTGCAGACGAGATTGAAGTAAGTAGTTACTCGGACTTACGATCAGCTCGAACTTAACTTGGAAAGATCATCGAAGAACTTGTTACGAGATCATCTCCAAAACACTATTTTTTTGTTCAGCTCAAACGGGCATATGTTCCTTCCAAAGATCTTGTAGCTTACTACTGTGCATGTATTAGATCTGCGTTAGACTACGCATGCCCAATGTTACATTACGCATTACCTAAGTATCTACAAGTTGAACTAGAGAGAGTCCAGAGGAAAGTTCTCTCGTGCATTTTCCAAGGATATCATTCGCAAATGCCCTTCAGCTTGCCGGAATAGACAACCTACAAGATCATCAAGAAAATTGATTTTCCAACTCTTTCAGTCGACAGTTAACAACTCTTCTGGCAAGATCCACTACCTAACTCCAGCCTCCAACAAGCCAACATACAACCATGAAAAGAAACGTAAATATCAACTGCCATCCACCAAAACGAAGAGACCGGCTGACTCATTTCTTTAATATATAGATTTTGCCAAGCCTAAAAGCGGAGCTCTTGTTAGTTTATTTTCCAGCCCTTCATTATACTGAATAAAAACTGCAATAAAACTCTTCAGCACCGGCTGTAGAAGAGTTTCTCTAACAGGATTAAGAGACCAGTTTGAGGGGTGGGGAGGGGGGAAGAATTGACGAGGTCTGGAACCTGGGGACGATGTTCTCACAACTTGCAAAGTAATCAACGTGCATGCTAGGCAGCGGTATCTTCAAAAAGCTTAGGACTTCCTTTGTTGTTCCTGATGTTTTGAGCAAATTTTCGAAGATAGGGAATGTTTTCTTCTTCAGATGAAGTGTATGACGTCAGCATTAGTTGAAATTATATTCTATTGAGCGTGACTTATAATTTCGGCGTGAAAAAATGAGCCAAAATTGAAAAAAAAGACGGTAAACTACTTTGCGTTGAGACATCATTGGTCGATTGAAGAGTGTACACGTGAGCACAGTGAGTTAGGAAAGCATTACGCCAGAATCGTATGTGCTTCTCTTATATCCACTCTTGAAGTTGCCAGGTATTTCCCAAACGTTTCAACCTCCTCTGTTTAGCGTAGAAAATTAAAAAGAAAAGTAATTTTCAAATCGTGTTTTTTTAAAACTTTTTCGCTTTTGGCTATTGATGTTTTAAGATTCTCCTCTAGCTGGAAATACACGACGTCTTTTTCTGATTTTTTTCTGTTATTTAATTCGGTGGCCTCTGCTGTAACTGCATATAATGTGGATGCATTCAAGAAAAATTGAGATACCACCTGGATTTCATTTCCACATCATAGAAATCAATTCCAAACATCAATCAAGTTTTCTATTTAGGTTAAAGTTGAGTTGATGTTATTAGTGGCTTTATTAAATAGGTTGGAACGTTTAAGATGGCATTTTCTCATGTTTGCCATTAATTGAATTTACAGGAAGGTGGGGTTGTTGCAACATGTTAACATGAAATGCAACGATAAATTTTATTGATATGTAAAAAGTTAAAATAATATTTATTATTGTTTTTTTAGAGGGCACGGTAACGAATCCTGCAATCTGATTGGTTCTTTACCCGGTCAGTATTTTCCTATCTCTGCCCACGGGCCACGGTAACGCTTTCGTGAGTCGCCGAGTACATCCCAACTTTCGTTGTCATTTTTCATAAATATACCTCGTTTTCCGGCTGGACAGTATTTTAAAGCAAACAAGTCAATCACTACCTCAAGCCGATAAATAACTTATGAATCCTCTCTTTTCTCTCTCTCTCAAATCACTTTGGTTGACAGAAAAATATTGGTTTCAGAATGAATTTGTATAAACAATAGTGTCATTACGTTGGTTGACAAGCGGCCTAAAAACTGTCTGCAATTAATTTTAATCGTTCACAAAAAGTGCCCAGAAAGTTAAAACGTGAGGTATTTGGTTACAGTTAAACTGAACGATGGAACTTTCATTAATTTAACATCTGAATTTTCTCGAGAAAATTGTTAGTAGAGAAAGAGAGAGCAAAGTTTTAATTTAAGTTCTACAACAAATATACGCTCCCGGTGAGTCTTTCCAATTCCGTTCAATTTGGACATTTGTACCGTAAATTACACAACAGAAACTGAAGGAATTTTTTGAGAAAAGGCCGCATTAAATTCCCTTGTGTCTCGTTGGAGTGTGCCGTTCGAATTTAGTTTTTGTGAAGGAAAGACCAGATTTACACACGCCATTGCAGCAAACAAACGAGCAAACTCTCACAACTTCAAAATAAAAAGATTGAATTTACTCACAATTACTTTCCTCGCCGTTTACTTAATGAACAGAGGTAAATCTTCGTACATGAATGAATCGTCGAGGAGAGTGAATAATACTTTCCGTTAGATCATTGACTGATTTTGAAGAAAACATTGTCGTGACAGTCCTTGCCAAACTAGTTCCGTTGTTTTTCAAATGCTCTTATGCTTTTTTTTTCTTACGCGCTCTCTAATTGACAGGTGTCAGATTGTGACAGATACTTGTAAAAATAATGTTTCAAAGTTTGTTTGGAAGCCTTTTAAATCACCTTTATCGTTACGGAAATGAATATGTTTCGCTGAGGCATCTCTCTTTAATTTGCATCACCTCTATTTTAACTACCATTTACTCGCTCAAAAATTGTTCAGTTTATGGAAGATCTTATCGTATTTTCAGCCCTAAATCATTCGGGTTCTTTCGGAAAGAATTTCCTCAAGTTTAAAAACAACATATGTTATTTACCGGCTAAGGGTCGGTCCGTATGGTGAAAAACTGTGACCTCGGTCACAGTTTTTCACCATACGGACCTCCCAGCCCGCAAATAACATATATGTATTCATATAATACAAAATAACGGTAAAAGTCTGCAACATAACGAAAACTGTCGGCTGACTGTTGGCCGTCTGTTGGCCGACTGTCGGTTGACGGTCAACCAACTGTTGGCTGTCTGTCGGCCGACTGTCGGTTGACGGTCGACCAAATGTCAGCCGACGGTTGACCAACAGTCGCCCGACAGACAGCCAACAGTTGGCTGACAGACGGCGCCTGCAAGAGATCATAAAACGTTGGGAAGAAGACAACCATGCGTTTGCAGATACGTGTGAGTCTCTTGTTCGGCACTTCAAGGAACGGTACAATCGTTTTGAAGGAAAACTCCGTATTCTACAAGGAGCTTTATCATCTGACGAGATCATACCACAAGATCAACGGGAAGCAGGCTTCAAACTCACCATAACAGACAAGATTGCCATTTTTGTTACAAATCCTATCTGGATTCCGATTTCTCTGATTATCTTGGTGGTTGATGCCCCTAAGGTTGGCGTAATGGCGATTATGAGCAAGTTAAAAGACAAAGGAAATGATGATGAACAAGGGTGCTTTCTTGAAAGAAGCATCCACCGAATACTTGAGTTGTGTTACGAAAGAAGAAGCTGCGCTCATGAACTTCGTGAGGGACCAACTGAGAGATGCCGCTCTGTGTTTGAAGCAAATTTAAACCCGTATTCCAGAGCTGATTGAGGCTGACAACTTGTTGTGTGAACAACTTTTGGAGGAAAAACGGTCAAAAAAGACGTAAAAGACACCTATGTACCGATGTTGGATGTAGCTTCTGAGATCAGAGGTCGGTTGGCCGTTTTTGGATTTGAAGAGGGTCTTGCAGCCGGTATCAGCAGCAAGATGTTGGACCTAAAAGGCCACTCAGACTGTCTGGGATTTGCACTGCGCCGCAGATAATGCCT